CTAAATATTAACAACTCCTTTCAAAAGCAATGAAAACCAYCTTATACTTGTTCAAGTTGTATATATGGATATCCGTTCTCCAGCTTAACTTTATCTTCTAAATTGAAAACAGCAATCATCGTTCAGAACATCAAGACAAAAAGTCCTTTACTTCTTCTCCCGCCTTTTTTTTTGTTTTTTTTTTTCTTGTTTTGGCTGTCAACAGGGTTAGAAATGTCTTCGCATCATAAATGGGTTGTCATCTAACCCTCTAACATGTCAATTGAAAAGTTCCTGGCTTGACAYATAGATGGAGCTACTATAATTAAACCCGTTTGATTTTTAGTTAGCCCAAGAGTATATAAATTTGACAGCTTCGGATCATTACCTTTGTGAATTATATCATTATGAGTGAAGCAACTTTTGTTATTTTGAAAAAAAGGGATAAAATGGTATTTGAGGTGTTGATAAAGTATTGCTTTTTGAAGGGAAATATAAAATTGATTCAAAAACTTGACTTGATGACAAGTTTCCAAACATTGTCCCAGAAAGTCAACCATCCAGGATCGATATGMTAAGTTTCAAAGCCTTGATGGGTTAAATGCGCACCGAAGGCGGTGAACGCCCAAAGCATTTTGTAACCGACAAAACATCAAAAAAGTCCACCAAATAATTTTGGATGACCGTAAAGTGAAGTTATTCGAGATAGCAGGTACTTTAGAGATTTTGTCAACTGAATGTGTGAGAAAGTTCTGTGAAAGTGGGTCGAGCACGAGCTCACTTTTGACAAAAACAATTACGAGTTGTTGATTCGGAGTAGTGCTTGGTGATGTTCAAGCTTAATAAAACCGAGTGTTTGACTCAAACATGTGCGACAATGGATGAAATACGGCTGCATCATTTCACTACGAAGTCCAATCGACAGTCATCCGAGTGGACCGCACACATGAATCTGCTCCAAAGCGTGGAAAAACGCGACAGTCGGCCAGTCAGCAAGGGTATGGCGTTTCTTTTGGGATGCTTACGGAATAATATTTATTGACTACCTTGCAAAAGGGAGAACCATCTACAGAACAGCGACTAATATAAAGGGTTATTGGACCATTTGAAGGACGAAATCGGCGAAAAAAGTCCGTATTTAAAAAAAAAGACAATACACTGTTTCACCAGGACAATGCATCGTGTCACAGTCCGTGAAAACGGTGGTAAAAATTCATGAACTGGGCTCCACATCCACTGTGTTCTCCAAATCTGGTCCCCAGTGACTATTTCATGTTACAGGTCTCAAAAGATGATGAAAGAAGAAGATGAAATTTTCGTCAAATCAATACGTGATCCACTAAACTGAGGTCTACTTTGAATCATAGGACAAATCAAACAAAAATGGTATTGAAAAGTTGGAGKGTCGCTATAAGCAGTATAACCACTGAAGGGAACTATGATAATGATTAAAAAAMAAATACGAGTACTTGTAGTGATTTTTGAACTTGCGGACTTTATTTCACATTTTCACATATATCAGTAGCTGTGTGAGTTACTATATTCACATTAACACTTAGTGTAATAGAATTTAAAAGCTTCTGAAATCGACCAAAACTTTCCGATTTTGCCATATACTCTTTACATACTGTATTACTAATTTCACCAAGCTTTTGTTTTTTGCAGTCTCAAAAAAGCMAGACAGACGTTGCTAAAAGCCAATCCAGGGATCTTCTGTGTAGCTCTCGTAGGGTTCATAAGTTGACCGTTAGAAGGAGACAACGGAGGTTCAGCTCATTTCCCCTCTGATGTAAGTCGGACTAGGGTGTCTTGCGACCTTATCGGTTTATCTGCGCTCTCGCTAWATCTAGACGAGTCTGATATTATARTAGCTGAATTTTATTTATAGTGAGYTCATACATTCGTTGATTAACTTTGAACGAAATACGTTAGTATTGCCGCTCTGCTACCAGATTTAATACTCACCTCCCTCAAAGAGGGACTCCGGAGCAATACGTCTACTGACTCCCCAAYCAACCAACATCATGACCTTTAACTAATGCGTGAGGAAGTTTACTGCGCCTTTTCTCCAGCAACTATGCCCAGTTCACAAATCCCCTTCGGTATGTGAGCAATGAAAAAGAAAACAAAGAGTGTTCCTATTTACATCCTTTTATATAATTATATAAAATTGAAGCTTTCATTCACCATAGAAGAACTACACAGTCATAATTGAAGTACCTTGGTGTAATGGTAGATTCAAGACTTCAAGGATCACTTGGAAAATACAACATATAAAGCAAATAAAATGTAAAATGATGGCAAATAGAGGCTGTGTGCGTCTAAGCCGACTGTTTTTAAAAGCTAAGGTAATAAGGTCAGTTATATTATATGCGGTTCCAATATGAATACAGGCGCTAGACATAAAATTATATGCTAATAATTAATATTGTCGTGACTTTAGTCCATATTGATCGATGTGTACGGAATACCAACAGGTGCTACTTCGGTAGCTCTCATGCCCCACGGTGGCACTGGAAGTCATACTAGAGTTCACACCGCTGTATCAGGTGATCAAGCTAGTAAGCAGTAAAACACACCATGCTGCTAATGTCAGAAGAAGGCTGTGGAAGAGGGAAGGTAATGTCCTCTAGACAGATGGACTCACTAGCGGAAAGCACACTGCTAGCCCTCCTCCCAAAAGACAGCAACAAGAAGAAAATTAACCTCAAGAAGAACTTTAAAGTTACTCTAGGCAGCAAAACGGAGTGGAATAACTCCACGCTGGAAATGCTGCTGGAAGACAGTACCATTCAATGGTACACCCCGGATGGCTCTAAAACCGCGGAATTTATTGGGGCAGGTATTGTGGGACCACGTACCGAGCTGTCCATACCTATGGGCTACTTCCCAAGTATCTTCCAGGCAGAAATTTTTGCCATCTATCAGTGCGCTGAAGTCAACCTTAGTCGCAACTATCGCAACCAGAGCATAGCTATTCTCAGCGATAGTCAAGCGGCTCTAAAAGCGATATTGTCATACGAGACCAAATCGCTTTTAGTTGAGAAATGTATAGAAAGGCTAAACCGCCTGTCCTTGTGCAATCGGGTGCACCTAATGTGGGTACCAGGGCACAAAGGAGTAGTAGGTAATGAGAAGGCCGACGAACTGGCCCGCACTGCGGCAGCATCCAAGATGTTGGGACCAGAGCCATATATAGCGGTAGGACCCTACACTCTTAAGCAGCTGCTCCGCACGGAGGAGAGAGAGGAGAGAGAACGGCACTGGCGGCAGACAGCAAGTATGCGCAACGCCAAGCTGCTCCTGGGAGGATACAATCGCTCCAGGTTTAAAGAACTAATCCACCTCCCCCGAGAAAAATTTCGTCTCCTCGTCGTAATTTACACAGGGCACTGTAAGCTCAGGAAACACCTATCCAACATGGGCATGGTCTCCTCTGCTAACTGCCGGTTCTGCGACCTGGAACAGGAAACACCAGCACACCTAATCTGGATTGCACAGCAATCTGTGGAAAAAGGCTCAAGGCCCTAGATTCTGTCTACATCAGCAGGGATCCCATCACCCTACTAGCGCCCGGCAAACTCCTGGAACTATTCAGGCTGCTGGGGCTCGGGGAGGTCATGTGATATAGGAGAGGATACAATATACCCTAGGTCGCGGTGCATTACCTCAATA